CTTCCGCATTCGATATATTTAAATACTCATTTCATTTTAATATTTTCCGGGGCTGTTACATATAAAATTACAATATCATTGGTAACAATAATTCTTATTTAGTTACCAATAAAATTAATTTTGAATTTCCACAACTTAAATTTTATCAATAGTAAAAATAAATTAATTTAATTTGGAATTAAAAATTGAATTTCGTCGTACAAAAATTGATCCAATAATTTTTTTAGGACTAAAAAAATAAAATTAATTAACATGGAGAGGCATGTAACTTGTGTTGACTAATAATAAAATCAATGTTGAAAGTAATGACCATGTGCATGTGATTGTAATGATGTGTGGCATTCCTTTGTCTTAGTTTCAACAACAAATGAAAAATGATCTATGGATGACAAGACACCACCAAAAATATACTACTTTCCTAACCCTATATACATATATATATATGTATATATATGTATGTATGTATAGATATAGATATAGGAAATTAATTTTTGAAAATAAGGTAAAAAAGATAAAATATGTATGTTACAAACAATTATATGATATGATTAATAGATTTTATTTTGTATTCATATCAATATATACCCACATCTTTATTCCCCATTATACATAAGTTATAATTTTAAAAAATTAATTATATAACATATAATTTATAGTTAATTAAAAAATTTAGATAAATAATTATTATTTGTATTTTTATTTAAAAAAATTAAAGAAAGTGCTTTGGGGCATTTGTTTCTATAAAAAATATCATTTTTACTTTTTAAAATACAAAAAAAAATTATTTACGAGTAAAATAAAATAATAATAATAATCTCTATATGAATTTATATAAATAGAACTGTTAAAAATCGCAACGGATAAACCTTATCGATTTGGTGTTACAGTAATCAGTAAATAATAGATAATTAAATAAATTTATCAAATTTATATACAAAATATGTAGAAATTTTTAGTGTAATTATTCGACCAATAAAAAACGAGAAATTTATTAATGAAGAATTAAATTTGTATTATATCATCATAACATGTCAATTTTCTATAGTTGGTCTCTCTAGGGATAAAAATGAAATTAAGAAGACAATTGACTTAACATCTATAGTCCATCCTACTTGGATTAAATAGAAGATGGGTACAACCTTGCAAAACAAAATGGTCATGATGGTATGTTTAAAAACACTAATAAATAATTATAAATTCTTCCGTTGAAATAAACCTTCGTAATTTTAGGCACGTGAAACATATTTTTTAGAAAAGTAAAACGAGAAGACGTGAAAAAAAAAATAAAACTGGTGTGACGTATTTGTAAATTTTATTCGCTAGCAATGTAAAGTTAATCACGTTCGAATATAATATAACATGATGTAAAATTATTGTGTATTGATATTGGGAAGATAAGTTAGAATTTCACAAATTTGCAAATGTTAAATTTATTTATAGTTGGTAGGTAATATAGTGATTATAAAACTCAATAAAAGAATAATTATACCTTAATTGATTGTAATGATTAATTAATTATTATGATATTAATTTTATTAATTGTATGATTAATAAGAATTTATTTTCAATTAATTAAAAAAAATAAATTTATTATTGTTGAAATTGGTTTTACTTTCTAAATTACATTCAAAGATACATTTAATATTAGAAAACTATATGTAATTATTTCATTGTTTTTTTATTTTATTTTATATACATATAGCACTTTTATTTCAACATAAAAATCAATTTTAACCGTATAAAAATTAACAATAAAGTTAAAATAATTTACTTAATAAATTGAGCAAAATAAAATATTTTAAAAATTATAAATCATCTTAAGAATTATGTCTTATTAATAAAACTATTAAATTATCATTAAAAAAAATTAATTTTAAATTTAATAATATAAAAAAGAATATTTGGAGTAAAGGGTAGAAAAAGTTAAATTAAATATACAAGTAAAAGATTAAATAAATAAATATAGATAGAAGATAAGCTGCGATAATTAAATACTTAAATAATAATTAAATAATATTAAAATGGGGCCCACCCGCCATAAAGCAAT